ACGAAAATTTGGTACACCGGATTATAATTGGGTTAAAATGAGATCAATCAAATGTTTAGTCATTGCGACCAAAAAATTTAATTGCCGCGATGTGTGTTTCGCTTTCTCAATAATACACGGATTTCACACAGGTAAAACACGTGTAATACCAACCAAATCGTATGCATCAAGTATTTTAGTTCCAAATATAAAAGTAATTTCTTCAGCTGGATCAACGTAATATGTTTGATTGAATTAAGCAGAAAAATTTCTAATTATTGTAATGAAATATTGTAGTAGTCAACCAGAATATTTCTAACAATAGTCAGAGTTTGACTACTGCTGATCCAGTTAACGTATTAGATAAAGCCCGTTATATCAGTAATTGAACTGAAAAATAAATTGTGTTATAATTATAAATAATAATATAATTATAAATAATTATAAATAATTATAAATAATTATAAATAATAACATTCAAGTTTGCTTATTAGTGACTACAATACTTATGCTTGTAAAAATAACACATTTTGCAGTAAATGCAGCAGTTGAGCACACCAGAGTAATTTCTAACACGTCAGAACACGTCAAAGTAATTTCTAAGGAAACACACACGGAAGTATCCCTCCTACAGATTCTCATGGGTCGTTGACATGTAATTCAAGCAGTTAACAATAAAGAGTACACACGGAAAAGAAAGATTAGTTGAATTAATGTGACAATGAGTACGTTTTGGCTGGAAGAAACTGAATTTATGGTGCTGAAGAAACAAATTTGGTTTAATGATTTATATAAGAAGATTTTCATAAGAAAATTTATATAAGAAGATTTTTATAAGAAGAATATTAATCAGCTATAAGAACAGTTTCTTACACAAAAAAAATGGTTATATCAACCAGAAAATAGTAAAATATGAAAATATAAAAATAGTTTTTTTATTTCTGATTTCAATAACATACTAATAATAATTAGCATTGCGGGTCGTTGCTTGAAGAAAATGCATTTTTGAGGTAACGAATCAGTAGTTCAGCGCAATCAAGAATTGACTCTTGATGCCAAAAAAAAAGTCATGCCATATTTTACTATTTTTCCGGTTCAACCATTCCTTTTTTCATACAATTACCTACTTATTTTCTACCTAGTTATTTTCTATATGACTCATTTCTTTTATTTGATTTTCCCGATTCATACAACCATTCCTTTTTTCATGCAATTACCTATTTATTTTCTACTTAGTTATTTTCTATGACTCAATTCTTTTATTTGATTTTTCCTGTTCATACAACCATTCCTTTTTTTCATGCAATTACCTATTTATTTTCTACCTAATTATTTTCTATAACTCAATTCTTTTATTTGATCATAAATTGTATTTTTTTCAACCAAAACGCGCTAAATTTGCCATGTTAATTCGATTAATTTTCTTTTTCCGTTCGTATTTTTCATGCATGTTTTCTCATATGTTTCGATATAATGTAATAATTAACTATTAAACAATACATTTAAAGTTACGTTGAATTGTTATATTACATATGATACAGTTTATTATATATAGCAGATTACTATGTGTATTGCATAAATGTACTACATTACATTCGATACGATGAAATTACGCACTTGCAAAACTCGATAAATCGTTATTTTAACACTCTTATTGCGACGCTCTACATATCACTTGCGCGCGTTCAATTTTACCGAATTTCCTTGGAGACTTGTTTCAACCCCTAAACATGCGAGAAAACACATATGAAAAGGAAATAGTCTTTTATTTTACGACATATCGAAAGCTTTTGAAAATGAAGAACACTTCCATATTAAAGAATCCATCAGCAAAATGCCGAGTCAAAATTTTGATCTTTTCAACCTTACCATTCCATTCCATATCTATTTTAATATTCTAAAACTTATACTCTAATAATTCTAATTCTAAGAGGGATTTAAAAATCTCCAACTTCGTGTCTTGTTTCTTCAAATCATCGTATTAGATTCATACAGAAGATTGGCCATACTTATCAAACAAAATAGAAAAATTATTCAATTTCAAAGGATTAATAATTTTTACGAATAAAACAAACAACATGGACTCGTTATTTTTTTAGATATCTAATAAAGACTTTCTACTTCTTTAAGGGATGCCAAAGTGGATGACTTTAAAAATGTCAATAACATAAAAATGATTGTTAAAACCTCATGTTAGATAAGCACTCATACAATTGCGCTACCCTTTTCGTATTTCTCATATACGTGCTGCTCTGTCTTACAATATTTAACGGAAAATATAATCATATATACAAATTTGTTTGTAAATTTTTTCATATATTTTTATAAGCTTCTAAATTCAATGGTAAAGCTATAGAAATGTTCATTAAAATTTTTCTGAGCAGAACAAACATACGTTTTACATATACAAGTTGCAGAACGTTTGCACATATTTACATTAATACTTAGAAATGTCAATTTTTTTATTGTTTGCAAATTGCTTTAAAATTTTGCATAATTTTTCTTTTATTAAACACTACTCCAGTACAGTTTTGCAAATATTTTAATTGTCTAAAAACATTTGCAGTTACGTAGAAACGTTTCATTCATTATGTAAAAACATCTATAATTGTGTAAAAACTTTTAAAGAAAAATATCCGTCACGTAAAAACACTTGCAAATTGTGTAAAAGCGTTTCAAAATAAAAGCATTTATTGCATAAAAACATTTGCAATGCCAGAGATATAAATTTGGAAATTTTTTCTTTCACATATTGAGCAATGCTTCATTATGCTTCAATTTTACGCGTACTTGTATAAAAGCATTTGTAATTCCATGTAATTAATACAACATAAACTTTGCAGAAAAATAAGTCACTAGTTTGTCGGTAAAGTTTTCAAGAGTACGAGGTATTTCCTTTATCCAACTTCCCAGAATTTACAGAATTTACAGAATTTACAGAAAAATGACAAATTTTTTGCACTAACACAAGACTTCCGTGCGACAAAATAATAGTTGCATGTTTTCAAAAATACTGTCCGACAAAATTTGACTTCTTTTTCCTGCGGCGATCGCCATTATTTTTTAATAAATTCTAGGTCGGATCCAAATCCGCTAGCAAAAAATGCCCATCACATCAGGTTTTTTAAATAAATCGAGTAATATGGGTAAAATACTGCGTTTTTTCCATATTTACCAATTTTTTGTAGTCAAAAAAATTTTTTTTTAATTTCATTCACGCCACTTTAAAATACTATTCTTCACTTTTAAAACGAATTGTTATTTTGTATTGTGCGATTTTTATTCACTGAGTTATGAATGTTTTCCAAAATGTAAATGATGTTGGGTCCAAATTGGCCGATTGAAAGTAGATGGATTTGTATGAAAATGGATATTCTAGGATTTTCTCAGGATCGCTGATATCGAATCTGAATCACGAAATTCAAAAATCAATTCAAAATATCAAAATATCAAATTCAAAATATCAAAATCACGAAATTCAAAGTGACGGATCCATTATGGCAAACCGAAAGTCACTTTTCTTATTTCAGTCCGTTATATTGGACCCGCCATTTTGAATTTCGAAATATTGAGTTCAGATGCGATATCAGCGACCCCGAAAAGCCTAGGATACCCATTTTCATACAAATCAATATACTTTCCAATTTCAATCAGTCAATTTAGACTCGACACCATTTATATTTTGAAAAACGTTCATAACTCGGTGAAAAAAATCGCACAGTACAAAATAACAATTCGTTTTAAAGGTGAAGAATAGGACTTTAAAGTGTCAATGAAATTGAAAAATGAAATTTCATTTGGCCACAAAAAACTGGTAAATATGGCAAAAAACGCCATTTTTTATCCACATTACTCGATTTATCTCAAAAACTTGACGCGATAGTAATTTTTGCTGACGGATTTGGCTTCAGCGACCTCGAATTTACTAAGAAATATTGGCCTTTGTCGCCGCAAATGTTTTATTGAACTGTGTAATTGGTCGTTAGCATCAATCGCGTGCGAAAGAGACGCGTTTGCCTCGTCGCGCGACCGCGAAACGATGATGACTCCCACCTACTCGTAACGGGCAACACAACGAGATACTTTCCGAGATCGATTAGCATTAGGCTCAAACTAGCTACTAGTGCACTAGTGGTGCAAGAGGAGGAGATGGAAGAGGGCTGCGAAGGGGGTCAGGTTGCGGAAGGCTCGAGTTTAGTCGCTCCACTGGACTGTAACTTGAGCTAACCCCGAGAAACACCACCGCCGGGAGAGAACTTGCCTCGTCAGCCGCCGGTATAAGGTCGAAACCTACCTACCGCCTGCAGACAGGAAACGGAATCCAACTTCCTTCCTCGGTCGAGGGCGAAGATTAATCTCGGCGCAGCCGTGTAGCTGCATCCACCTGGGCCCCCCCCCCCCTCCTCGTTTATCGTTTACGCAGATTTATAAAAGGCACTTGTGGCGAGACCGCGCGAACTTGTTCCGCTCGAGGAGCAGCGGGAATATTTATTCCGCAAACGATGACTCGCGAAGGAGCTTCTCATAAAACGGTTATCTGAATTCGGTCGGTTTGATCGGGATTACACGGAAGAAACATTCCAGTTTGCGCAACTGAATGGGGCGAAGAAAGAGGGAGGCAAACTAAAACTCACTGACGAAATAATTGATAATCTCCATTATTATGACCGAAAACACTCGTCTGAACAATGCAGCTGCATTAAAACTCGAAATAACTGAGCAATAACGAGCAATTGGCTGAATAAAAACCTCCTACGGGAGTCTTTTTGTTCCTACAACCGATTTTTCATCCGATCCCCAAATGACAAAAAATTCAGTTACACTAGCGAAATTGTCTTTTTCTTTATAAAAATGTTTCCTTCAATGATGGGGAAAAACTGGTGTTCTTTCTTTACACATTCTGCTCGGAAAGTCGAAGAGGAGTTTTCTCTACGCTTTATTGTAAAGACCATTCATCTCGCACGCGCGATTGAATCTCACACTACTCGGATCTCACGTCGATTGGCGAATTAATCTTTCAGATCCTTGCGCTAAAGTCGTGTGCCAGGAGCTAGAGATCTGCCTATTGAACAACAAGCGGCAACCCATCTGTCAATGCGGGGAACAATGCGGCGTAGAATTAGCGCCGGTCTGCAGCAGCGATGGCAAGACGTATTCAAACGAATGCAGCCTCCGCCAGGAAGCCTGCCGATCGAGATTGCCGCTCAGGAAGGTCTACAATGGCGCCTGCAGCTCTGGTAACGCGAAAACTATTTACAATACGTCACTTAAAGAAATGGTCTTTGCAGTCATAACAAAAATTATCTAGATAAATTATCTTGGTGCGAGAAATCAGCTAAAATAGATAAATTAGACCGCGATATCACAAATGTTTTATATTCAATTTCAGATAGAATTTCAGAAATAAAGTATTTGTAAAATTAACAAAAAAGAAAGTCTCTCTCCGTAGCGCCTACGCAAATTAAGACCATTTCTTATAAAAGTGACTGTGTGATAGACAAAAGGGACCAGTGACGAAAATGTGTAATTTTCACACCTGCTTAAATTCGCGTAATCATTCACAAATCTTTCTTGCAGGAACATTTTCTCGGAGGACTAACTCTAAGTTGAAAATAAAATTTCTCTCTACCTATTCTCTATTTAGATCGAAAATCGCCCGAGCTGAACGCAAAATGGTGGTCGCGCGGTGTCGCACGATCGTCCCCGAATTTTGATGTCTTTCTTTCCCCGCAGGAACGAATCCTTGCGACGAGGCCAAGTGCAGCTCTTACGAGCAGTGTGTCATCAACCGTTACGGCATCGCCAACTGCGAATGCGGCCCCGAATGCGAGCCGGTGATGCGGCCGGTGTGCGCCCGCGGCGGCACCACCTACACGTCCATGTGCGAGCTGAAGAGACAGGCGTGTCTGACGAGGAGCGACATCGAGATCGCCTATGCCGGTACATGCGGCTCCAAGGGACCCTGCTCGGAGAAGGTCAGTCGTCACCGCGACTTATCCGCGCTCTGTTTCGCTCCAGTCGCATTCATACGCCTCGCGGTTAGAGATGTGCGATTTGTGAAATTGTGTATCGCGACGCGATCTTTTTTAAGAATTGCAATGAATGCGCATCACGATTTTGTATCGCAAATATAATTTTAAATCGCGCGCGATTTAATAACGCGGCTTTTAATCATAAGGAGACCTGAGCCATGATGCGAATAATGTTTCAATGTGAATGTTAGACATATTAAAAATAAATAAATTAACTCTCTCTTCGTATTGTGTGCATCAAAATATTTTTTCAAATATTCATTCTAAGAAAACACAAGTTTTACTGTTAAAGAATAATTATAAATAAAAACATAATTAAGTTAAATTATGTTATCTTAAAAACATCATTTAACCTCATTATGCTTTTTACACGGAGAAAAATGGCAGATATTTTACAAAACTTATTTATTTTCGAATTATTAATTTTCAAATATTTTTAAGAGGGATTTATTAATAATAGGATGTTTTATTACATACATATATATATATATGTTATTTAAATAATTGTAATTATTTATTGATAAAATTTTTCTCATAAAACAATAAGATTACCTTTTTTATTGTCTTTTTTTTACTAAAATATTAATAACAATCAATATCAAATGTAGCAATCTTTAGTAATCTTTTAAAACATATATAAAAAATATATATATGTATATAAATCATATATAAAAAGAAATAATGCAACTTGATATTACAAGTCTATTATAATGATATAATCTTACTAAATCTCTGAATATACAAGTTTGATATAGATGATATAGTTGATTTTAGATGATATAAGATATTGTACACTGTAAAAACTAATGTATTAAATTTAATACATTTCATATGTTTCAAATCATCCACTCTCATTTATGTGTAAATTTAACAGAAATCAAATGTGTTAAAAAGTAACACGCATAATATAGAAAAAATTAACACTTGAATATCATTAGGAATCACAGGTTGTGTTAAATTGACATATTTAATATGTCAGACATAGATTATATCAATTTAACATTTTCATTTCATCAAAACCATAAATTAATACTTCTCTCAAATGTTAAAGTAACGTTTTATTTTAGTTAATTTAACATTATATATATGTCAATTTAACACAAACTGTGATTCCTGACGGTATTCAAGTGTTAAATTCTTGTGTTAATTTTTTATATATTATGCGTGTTACTTTTTATCACGTTTGTTTTGTGTTAAATTTATACATAAATGAGAGTGGATGATTTAGGACATACGAAATGTTAAACTTAACACATCAGTTTTTACAGTGTAGATTGTCACGCGATATTTGCACAGATACTTAACTAAAATGCAGGCGCAATTTTGCGATAAAAGTCCAATTGCGTATCACATTGCGGTTCAAGAAAGGAAAATCTCAGTGCTCGTGATATATCGCAAAATCGTACATCCCTATTCGCAGCATGCTCTTGCGGTTACCGAGCTCCCGTTCGCCGTGACGCGAGCGAGATTACGGAGCCTGGTGTGTCGAGGCGAGAGAGGCCACGAATTATTGCGCTTCGGGGAATGTACCATTCTTGGGAACGTTAACCGCGTCTTGCGCGGTATATTTCATTAAATCGTGCGTCGTTATTGGCGACAATCGAGCGCGAATGTCGGGGATAAATCGGCAAGACACAGAAGGGAGCTGTTATTATACATCACTATGACGGATACGCCGTTGTACGCAGATCACGTATCTGCAACGATAAATAGCCGATAAAAAGGAAGACCTCCACGGAGGTTGGAATTTAATTTATTACCACGATAAACGAGTCAGACTATTGTGTGGAGTTGTTATATTGGATTTTGCATAACAAGTAATTTCGAGTATTTCAGGCAAAAAGCGCGCTCGCATCTTGCTATTGTTACAATATTATAAAACAACGCTTCACGAAAAACAGAGTTGCGAGTAATTAAGTATTTCTTTATTGAGTATACCGTGTTTAATTGGCGACTGTAATACGAACCAATTTAATTGGAGATCATTTCATTGACAATTGATCCCAACAAATTCAATGGACCGTTTGATTGACGATTTTAACGAATTCAATGAAACACCGTGCAATCGATATGAGCAAAGGAAATTAAAAGATCGTTCAATTAATAATCGAATTTGAAAAATTTAATTAAAGACCGTTTGATTGACGATTAAATTAACAAATTTAGTTAAAGGCTATTTAACTGACGATTGATATGAACAAATTTAGTCAATTCGAAGATTGTTGCTTATACACGACAATTTCCATAAAAAAGAGAGAGTAATGTTGTAAAGATACAAACCTTTTATTTTACCTGAAAAGTCCGAAATTACTTATTATACAACGCAATTATTAGACACATCAGAAACAAAAAACATAAAAATTTAAGCTAAGAGAAAGATAAACCAATAAGTTCCGATCGCTGGAATTTAATGGAAATTAATGGAAATAATTTAAACTCTAGGAGGAGATAATAATCCTTGTAACAATGTGGTATTTTTCGTGACATTGATAGAAGTGAAAAAATATATCATTTTTTAAACGTTACATGGATTAATGGAATAATTAATATTAATAAGTGGAATATAGAGTCGGGGAGCTTTAATTAAAATTAATTCACCACGTTTATTCCAAGATCAGAAAATTCGATTCGTGCATTATCGCACTGCCAAACATTGTCAATTAAACAGACTTTAACTAAATTTGCTAAGTTTTATTATTCGCTATAGTTTGCTAAGATTATCCTATCTTGTTATCCTATCATAGTTTAATTCAGATAGATATATATGATCCAGAAGTACATAAATTCGTATTCGTTTTGTAAAGGTTGCGTTCCTTGTGTATGATTTATTAAGCATTCGTATTTATCATATAAAATAACAAAATAAAACGAAATAACAAAATATAACGAAAAAAATTACTAAAATTTACACAAAATATAATGTGTTCTGCAAAATGTAATATGAAAATCTGACTTCAACTTTTAGTAAATTTACTGCTGCACACGGAGAAAATGTTGTAATAAAAATTTCGTTAAAATTATATTTCTTTTGACAATGTTTTTTGCGAAACTGAATTGTACTGAAATTGTGACATAAATTATATTATTACTACGGAATTATTATTTCTATTGCTATAGAAATAATAATTTCGACTATTTAAAAAACGACATAAAAATACTTAAGTAATCACAATAATTTTACAATAAGTCAAACGTGCATAATATTATTAAACAGTTATAATTTTGATCATAATTCTACATGATCCAAAATTACACAAAAATTTTGTGTAAGTACTACAATATTTTGCTACAAATTTTTACTATAATATTTTTCTCGCACATATAAAAAATTTGTAGTAAATAAATAAAAGAGTGACATACACGCAATTACAATACGCAATTTTTACTACAATATTTTTTCCATGCAATATAACAAAATATTGACATTATTGTATGGTGTTAATTTAATGATTGATTCAACACAGTATATTTTCTTCATAATTAAGCAAAGTTGTAAAGTTTCCATCACCGATTGTCTCACGTCGTGGTAATCATGACAGTTTACCTAGGAAATTTCGTATTGCATTCATATCGGCATCCAATGCGTTTTGTCCTTATTGGTCAATCTTTCTTTCTCTTTCTCAGCTAGTTATACAATAAATTATTATATATTATCACAGCGACGATATACTACGTATGCCTATCTTCTAATCTCTCCCTCTCTGTCTTTCCGGTCGGTACCGTCCACCGTTATTTTCACGAAAAACATTCAGCGCTATTCCGCGCGATGCGATTCAGTTAGATTTAAGTTAGGAATACTATCGGTCTACAAAACAAGGATTGTAATCGACGTCAAGAGAGCTCGCGAAATGGAAATTGCTAGATGTATTCACCGCAGAAATTGGAAAGGATCAAGAGTCCGACGGCACGGCGAGAGGGAATTCTCTTCTCCCTCTCTGTCTCTCTCTTTCGCTATTTCTCCTTTCCGATACTTTCTCGATTTGGCCGCAAAATTCGAAAGCCCGAGGTGAGATCCTAGCAGGTTTCGATGAGTTCCTTCGCCGAAAGCAATTGTCGCTAATTGGATGACACCGAGCCGCGCTATCTCCTTGAAAAAGTCAGTAGTAGTAGTAGTAGTAGTAGTAGTAGTAGTAGTAGTAGTAGTAGTAGCAGTAGTAGTAGTAGTAGTAGTAGTAGTAGTAGTAGCAATAGTAGTAGTAGTAGTAGTAGATACCGGCGGGAAAGAACGGGAAAAGATCGTGTCCAATGAATTTCACAAAGACACTTGCGGTATATCGAACTGTCTCTCCCACTCGCATCTTTCCTCGCGGACAGCCTGATGAACTTCGATATTCTCGGATGTAGTCTCGGAAAAGTTCCCGCCAACTAATTAATTTCTTGTCTGCATTTTTAATTCGGCCGTGCCTTCGTCTTTCACCTTCTCGCTCGGAAAATGTACAGGATAAAAGTTCCTCGCGATACAAGGGAAGATGTAATTATCCTTCGACTTTTGCATTATTATTACAGCGCGATGTCATCACGGTCTATTAATCCCTTAAGGCCCAATGTACGTAATTATGTACGTTCACTTTGAGCCTTACCTAACTGTATCGGCAAAGTAATGATTTCAAATACTTATCGCGACTTATCCTAGATAGAACTATATTCTTCGCACCAACTCGTGACTTCCCCGACTTTCCTGACCGATATGGCGACCGTGTGCAGAATCGTTGATACGCGAAATTGTGTAAAGTTTTCCACGAACAAAAAAGTGAGCAAATTTTATTTTCTCAACTTTTTTTTAATATGATCTTAAAGTACAAGGTCTTATGTTCACATTTTATCACGATTATAAGATTTATTAAATTCTGTAGCTGAAGTACATATGTGTACACGAAGAGAATATTATAGTTTTTTCTTCTCTTCATATTGTTTTGAATTTGGCTATGTTTCTAGTAGTCCAGGAATAGATTGTCAGTAAAGTCTATCTTGCTAAAGAACACAGTAAATTTCGTTAGAAACACATCAAGTGTTATAATAGCACATTTCAGTTCCCAAAGTTACGCATATGAAATGACAAGATAAAACGAACTGCTGCAGAATGTCGATCTATTTCCTCGATTATAAAATCCTACAGTAACTTTACTATAAAATTCTGTATGCAAATACAGAATTACGTATATATGAATATACGTAATTATGAATATATACAAAAAATCATATTTCTTGACTTTTCTTTTATTCGGACTACAAGACTTCTTATCAAGAGCGTCTTCTAAGATTATTTTACAAAGAAAAAAATTTTACTCGAGTGGAATCGATACTTCAAAGGGTTAAAAAAAAGAGTTAAGGCTTAAGAGGGTTAAAAGGACAAATGCACAAAGATCGCACACGTCGGCTTGAATGAAATGTCCGACGATGAAGAGAAAAGAGGAGAAAAGCGACGCGTTCATTTCAGGCGCACATGATGCAGCGCGATGCTCTCGCCGTTTAATAACGGAGTGTGTGCGGTTATTCGGTTCGCAGGTATGTCAATGGGATGCAATCTGCGCGGAAAACGGCGGCAACGCCGTGTGCGAGTGCCCGACTTGTCCGGCTGAATTTCAGCCGGTCTGCGGCGATGACGGCATCAGCTATGGCAACGAGTGCAAGCTTCGCCTGGAGGCGTGTCAGCATCGACGGGAGATACGCATTCTGTACCAAGGACTGTGCAGTGAGTACCGCGAACGGAATTATCCCGTCGAGCCCCGTCCGTTTCGAGCATTTTTCGATAACGCGACGAGAGAGCCGAGCGAACGAACGGACGAATGAACGAGCGAACGGACTTCGATCGCCAAGAGGCCGAAGCCGATAATATGAATTCTCCCTCTCTTTCTCTCTTCCTATACTCGCATATATACAGGATGTTAAAAAAAGGGTTCAAGGCTCACAGAGTAGATGGTAGTAGATGGTACTCATTGTACTGAGTAGAAGGCGCTTAGTAAGCAAACTTGAAATATTTTTTCTGCAAAGTTTACCCTGTATTGACCGCACAGAATTACAAATGCTTTTGCACAGTAAAAGTATGTGCGCGAATGAATGGGAGCATTGGTCAATATGTAACCAAAATGATAAAAAATTTCAAAGCTGACATTTCGAGTGTAAATTAGCCTGTCAGTTAAAGTAAATATCCGTACAAAATATGTGTATCTTATATATGAACGCGAGTTAAATACGAGTTTACTCCGCTTAGAGAAATTTCAAAAAACATTGTTCAACCTTTACATCTGAATTTAGAAACCTAAAAAACTCATAAAAGCTTGCAGAAAGATTTCTATATGTGTAGATGGTTCAGTTTTCAACCCTTTCAAAATTGCAAATGTTTTTCGGTTTTGTTAGTATGAGTTATTTGTATGTTTTCGTTGACCACGCGCGTTAGATGTTTAGGAAAGATGTTCTACATGTCCTCTTTCAAAAATTTCCAGTCTTCTTCGAGGCAAAGAAAGATCAAGATTTTCCTCAAGAGTTCGCAATTCTGTAAGATAAAGATGTTAAGCGTATGTAGAAATGGATGGGGCACATGATTTATTTACTTATTTTTTTTTTTTTGTAAATATCAAAGTACTAATAAAGTAATAATATGGTGAAACATAGAAAAGAAGAATATTCTCTTGAGAATATCTTTATTTTTTTTTATATGAAATTACACAGCATTAAGTGAAGATAAGTTAATTGCATCAATACATTTTTATATCAACAAAGAAACTATATTCTTATTATTCAAAAATTATGCTTACGAATGAAAAGCACAAAATGATGAATCGAGAATATAAAATGTTTTTAAATACCGGAAGAAGACATCGTTATCATCAAAATAATCATATTGTACTTCCTGGAGCAATTATAATATCCACATTGTTGAAATTCAAGACTTCAAAATCCTTCTAACAAAATTGTATATTTTTATGCTTATATATAAAAAAATAATCGTAAATTTGAATATATTAATTTCAAACGAATTTTCATTTCTTTCTGTGTAATCAATAAAAGAATATAAGTAACTTGCGTTACTAAACCGAGAAACATTTGTAACTCTGAAAGGATTAATTTCTCTTAATCTATGTCTATTAAACATTTTGTACTCAGTGCAGTAAATAAAAATAATATACCCTATAAGTCTTGAATTCTTATTTTTACACTTTATATAGAACCACGTCGGCTTCTAAGTGTATTTAATCCGTATTATCATTTTCTAATCGTACTCTCTCTCTCTCTCACACACACATACACACACTCTCCTTCTCTTTCTCTCACTCTATCTTTCCCGCGTTGCTACCTTTGTCCCTCCTCTTCCATCGCCGTGGAAAATATATTGCCGGCGAGTTAATCTCTTAAACGGCTCCCTAGCCCTTCTCTCCGCGAGGTCCTTCGAAAAGGTACTCCGATTAATCACATAAAATTCTGAATTCCCAATCCCAACGAGCGGATTGAGCGTCCTTATCGGCGCGTTCTGATATTAAGCGCGGAAAATAATTTCCGACTTGCCGACGGGGCGCAGGAGAAGCGGGGGAAAAGGGACGTTAAGAGAACAAATCTGCGATTTTAATATGGCGGAGTGGTCGGACAGCGGTGGAGGGTTAATATACGGTCGCGTAACCGCCCCTGCGGTAACTTAAAACTTGCTACGACTAATTTGAATATCCGGCCGGAGTAAATTGAATTTATAACGGATTTCTGAACGATCTTAAGTAGCGCGACGGCATGAAACTTGATTAACGTCGATGGCCTCGCGTGTTTCCCTCGGAATTAAACATCGATCGATCGCGCTGGTCTGTACTTCTGCATTCGACGCGATATACGAGACAATCGCGTTCGCGAAAAGAGCAAAAGAAGGAGAGGAAATGATCCATCGATCGATCGGAAAATTTGTTCCCACGCTGAGAGAAACGAATGGTTTTTCTCGTTGAAATTATAGTCATTTTCGGTGTCAACTATGTCTTTCTGTGGTTTTAATAAAAAATGGCAGCAGGAATATACATGTAAGATTATTATCATTGACACTGTAACAACAATTACTACAAAAATGTTTACTCTGACTGCACTGAGAAAAAGAGTATTTAAGAAATAAGAAATATTTGCAATTTGTGCACTGTAAAAACTGATGTGTTAAATTTAACATTTCATCTGTCCCAAATCATCCACTCTTATTTATGTGTAAATTTAACACAAAGCAAATGTGGTAAAAAGTAACACGCATAATATAGAAAAAATTAACACAAGAATTTAATACTTGAATACCGTCAGGAATCACAGTTTGTGTTAAATTAACATATATATAATGTCAAATTAACTAAAATAAAACGTTACTTTAACATTTAAGAGAAGTATTAATCTACGATTTTGATGAAATGAAAATGTTAAATTGACATAATCTATGTCTGACATATTAAATATATCGATTTAACACAACCTGTGATTCCTAACGGTATTCAAGTGTTAAATTCTTGTGTTAATTTTTTCCATATTATACGTGTTACTTTTTAGCATATTTGTTTTATGTTAAATTTACACATAAATGAGAATGGATGATTTGGGACACATGAAATGTGTTAAATTTAACACCCAGAGCCGGTACAGTTCATTATTAGATTTACAAACGCAGACTGAAAAAATGTGTAACGATGGGTTTCAGGGGTTTTATAGAACGAATTTTTTTCTGTTTACATCAATTTATTTTGGAATTAATGTTACATCTCTATTAAAGGAATGGATGCGTATTAATGTAAAGATTATCGATGTCATCGCTCAACTTCACTTTCTGCGTCGCTGCAGAGAACATAATATTTTTCCACAACATATACAAAGAATAAATTGTTGTATTGTCTTTCGTAACAAAAAATACATACGTAAACAAAAACTGGCTATCAGACGGTTTCATGCTTCGTTACTTTCTTACGAAATTAATGATACTTAGAGATACCTTTCTTACTTGCGAAATAGAATGATCAATTTAACTTGGCATATAAGGAGATTGGTCCCACACAATATATGGTATGAGTTTTTCATTTCCAATTGCAGCAATTAAAATACAATAGAGTATATTTTAGAAAGATATTCGCGTTGAATAAGAAATTTGACTGGTTAGTCAAAAAAGCTTCTGAGGAAGACCTTGATAAAATTAAACCAATTAAATATTTTATGCAAGTTGGTAAATGCTTCGATTCAGAGGTGAGTCATGCGATGACATTGAGATCTAGAATAAGTAATAAAGTTGAGATCAGAGAATACTCCTTTTTACCCAAGATACTCCTTTCTCATACTACACCTCCACATAAGCCTAACTGTAGAACAATTTCAATAAATGTGTCGCATACGGATTTTGAGCATGAGGGGAGTGACCTTTTTTCGATTAGAGAGAAGTGGTTTATTAATTTGGGACTGAGATATCATTGGAAATACAATCCCTATTACAACTGGGTGAACGGTTCAGTCTCCCGTCACATAGTTTTAAGGGGATTATGACAACCACATGCATTAAAGAGTTCGAGAAAAGCCTTTGGCTTTGCAAGTCGGTAAATAAAGACACGGCAAGATCGAGAATCAGTTCCCTATTAGAGTCTTATCTTTCATGTTCAAAGTTTGTCAGCGACGTTGAAATTTAACTTGATAAATTGGTAAAACAAACCTCTGCGTTTATGAGCCGCAATAAGAATATCATTTTTTGTAAAGCGGATAAGGGTAATACCACAGTTGCGCTGGACAAGAGCGATTATGTGTACAGATGATGTTTGACGACGAGAACACTTACATGAAAGTGACAAAAAACCCAATTAGAAACATTGAGAACAATTTGCAATAATTATTAAAGTTATGGTTGAAGAAAAATTATATCAATCAAGCAACTTATAAGTCGCTTTCGTCGTCGGATGCTGTATTACCTCGTGCATACGGTTTATCCAAAATACATAAACCAAATTGTCCATTCAGACTTATAGTCTCGACTGTTGGCAGCCCTTTTTATAGTTTAGCTGTTTATCTACACAAAATTTTGTACGGGAGTGTTCCGCAACCCAGGAGTCACGTTGACAATAGTTTCGGTTTTTATAAAAAGATTACAAATTTTAAATTAGATAACTCCTTTACTTTGGTATCTTTGGACGTTACTTCATTGTTTACTAACATTCCGATTAAGCTTGCCTTGGCCAGTGTTAGGAAAAGATGGTCTTATATTTCACAGTCTACTGTCATCCCAAGAGAAGAATTTCTTAAAACTATTGAGTTTATATTGGACTCAACCTATTTCCTCTTTAATGGAATTTGTTATAAACAATTATATGTTATAAACAATTAATTACACCCATGGGTTCTCCGTTGTCACCTATAATAGCGGATTTGGTCATGGATGATCTTGAGAGTTGTGCTTTGAATCATTTGCCATTTATTCCTCCTTTCTACTTTAGATACTTTCTACGTAGATGACATTATTATGGCATTACCAACGGGTCATCTCGAGATGGTCATTAGAATGTTTAACTCACATATGAGTTGGAGGTTGATGGTTGCATTAGCTTTTTAGATTTGTCTTTGGTACGGATTGAATGGCGAATTAGTTTGTGATTGGTACCGTAAGCCGACGTTCTCGGGAAGATTTTTAAATTATTTCTCTCAGCATCCTATCAGCCATAAAAGGGGAATGGTTCTCTCCTTACTTAACCGAGCTCTTTCGCTCTCACA